TTGTATAGTGTATAAAGGATTGTATAATGTATAATGGACTTCAGTGTGTTCAGGAAAGATGGTGGATGGGAAAGCTAGCCTTCCTTCTATATTGTGACTTCTTGAGCACTTTCCAGACATGGGCTACTTTTCAGACTAAGAATGGTAAAGCTACTGGTGTTGGGATACCAAGAAGAAGGGCCCAGCAACCGCACAGGTAGCACTCACCGCTGACAACCTTCCTGTCTTCTCAAACACCGCTCATCACATGGCTGTCTGTGCAGTGACGAAGAGCCTTTTCAATGGGACAGAGTGGCTGGCTTGACGATCAGGCGGCTCTCACTGCAATCTTTTTAGAATACAGCCCACATCTTCCATCTCTGGTTAGTAGGTGTGAGTTAGGATATAAACAACCAGTCTGACAATTTTTGTCCTTTAAATATTAGGCTTAATGTATTTATGATGGTGGTTGCTATATTTGTGTTATTTTTTCTGTTTTTTTTGTATTTACTTTTCAGTTTGCTCACCTCCATCTGCCCTTGATTTCTGCTTTCTTCTCGTCTTGACTTTTTCCTTAATCAAGCTGTTCTTCTCCCTTATCCCATCTTCTTATTTATATTACTTTAAATGCAAAAAACTTGGATCTGCTTTAGCAGTTCACTCATCTGCTATAGCGCACCTAAGTTTAAATGTCCAAATAATTTTACTTTTGTTTGATAGCAATCAGAAATTTTAATTCACTTTTCTTTCTAGATACACATCTAAACTAGTCTCTAGGATTTTATATAGATATAATGGATATGTTTTAAAGCCTTTAATGTCCTTGTGCATTTAGATTTGAAAATGCTGTTTATTTTCATTGTTTGTTATTGACTTTTAATTTATTCCTTCTTTCTAGAATTACTTTTTTTAATTTAGAGTCGAAATTTTAGAAGTTTCAAAAAATCTGTTGATAACACACAGAGAGAGATGCACACCCCTATGTATATCTCCTGGGTTATGTATTTGCTGAGTCTGTGTATGATCCCTACATACAAACACATATATAGAGAGACGGATAGACAGACAGACAGATAGATTGAACACGGTGACAGTGCTATGAAATCCTACATTTTCACTTGACATAATAACATGACATGAACATAATAGAGTCTCCCAGATACTGTCAAAGTAATTAAGTGATTTTAAATGTCCTATTTGAGGTTAAACTACCATTTATGTAATCTATTTCTCAATATTTGTTGTGTAAGGTACTCCAAGAATTTACAGTTGTGATGAATACTGCAGCACACAGCCTGCTACATAAATCTTTGTCCTCATTTCTGAATATTTCTTAAGGGAATATTATAAGAAGTAGAGTTTCTGGGTCAAATCATCACAACCTTATAAATTTAACTTAATTTTATTCTCCTTCCTCATGACTATCACTAACCAAGACTCTGGGATCACTTTAAATTCAAGAATTTGCCTAAATTGAAATAAAGCTAGTATAGATTTTTTTAATGTCTAATTGTATTAAGTAATTTAATATGAGAAGGAACAAACTGACTTCCATTCAATTTTTTTCTTTATACACACATTCACATTGAAAGACTTTTCCTACTTATTTATTTTCTAGTCAATAGTTCTTCTATTTAAACCATACCTCAAAAGATCAGCTTGCTGTTTTTCATCTCTATTTCACTTCTTTCCACTGCGTAAGTGAATGCTTTAGCATGCTGTCTCATCTCTGGTCCTTCCTTCTCCCCCCTTTATTTCTTTTCCGTCCTCTTCCTACATTCTACATACTACACACACACATTTACACCTGAAGGATTAATAAGTGTTGCATTGTTTTGCAAACCTTCCAGACATTCTCCAGGCCAGTTTTCAAGTTGGGAAATGTCAAACTTCAGATGATCATAATTATATTCTTATATAATATGCATATACAAATGCAAATACATACAAACATACACATATATACTAACACATTCACAGATACTCACACATACACATACACACACACAACACACATAATAGAAACATACAGAGAAACACAAAAGCATGCATGGAAGCCTCCATGCATCTGCAGACAGTTTTCATTTAGAGAATTTGGTTCCTTGGATTTCTGGGTACTGGTGTACTTTACTGTTATTAAGATACAATAAGTATCTTGAAAACAACTATTTTTTTCACTGCTTGACTTTTGAATTACACAGATGGAGAAAGGTGCTATGGGAAAGGAAGAAAGGAAGAAGAGGAGAAGGGAGAAAAGGAAGGAGAGAGGTCCACTAAGGTAAAACCATATTTTTGTTGTTGTTGTTGGATGTCTGTACATTTAGGTAAATTAGATTCTGAAGTACCTGGACCATTCATTCTAGAATCTTCTCCACATTTACCCTTTGCCCACAGATTTTAGCCTACAACAGACACCTGCATAGGAAACCCAGCACAGTCTACGACTTAGCTAACAGTAAAAGCCAAATGCTGCCTCAGCATGGATGTGATTGGAATACATAAAAGAGCCCTTGGATTCCCCTGATACTTTAAACCCTTTAAAGAAAGAGAAACAACAAAGGGACTGGAGAGGTGGCTCAGTAGTTGAGAACATTGACCATGCTTGCTGAGGACCCAGATTCAGCTCACATTAGCCACACTGGGCAACTCATAACTGCGGCTAATTCCAGTTCCAGGGTGCCAATACTCTCTCCTGGTATCCTTGGCCACTTGTCCTCATGTGGTGTGCATAACATACGCTTGCTCAGACATATGCATAATATAAACAAATGTTTTGAAAAATTTAGAAATTACAGTGTCACATACACTAGAACATCTAGACATTTTCAAAATTGGTTATTCACAAGTCCCATTTATTTTGGAAGATGCCGTTTGTTCATTTCCCAGCCACCCAGACTCCCATAATAAACACACAAAAAACATATTACTTAAATCACTGCTTGGCTCATTAGCTTTAACTTCTTATTTGCTAACTCTTACATCTTAACTTAACCCATTTCTATTAATCTGTGTATCACCACATGGCTCTGGCTTACTGGCTAAAGTTCTGGCATCTGTGTCTGACAAGGGTACATGGCTTCTCTATGACTCTACCTTCTTCCTCACAGCATTCAGTTTAGTATTTCCCACCTACCTCTATTCACCTATAGCTCTGCTATAGGTCCAAAGCAGTTTCTTTATTAACCAATGCCGTTCCCAGCATACAAAAAGAAATCCCACATCACCTTTCCTTTTCTGTTTAAATAAGAAGGAATGTTTTAACTTTAACATAGAAAAATTACATACAACAAATCAGTAATTAAGCAAGAATTATAGTTACAATATTTGTTTCTATTTTATCTTTTATCACAACTAAGGAAAGCTATATTATTACTACCTATACTTCAACTCCATTAAAGACTCCAGAAGGATATAATATTTCCTAAGTAAACAACATCCAAAACTCTAGAATTGATAGAGACATCTTGCTACCTGGACAGTCACCCAAAGTTCTTCTGTACCATTGCAGCACCCATCTTCAGCCTACAAGCTTGTAGTATCAAGCAGACCTTTACATGAAGTAGGAAATTTCAAAGACAATTTTGTGTATATTGGAAGTTTGTCAGTCACTTTCTTCTGTGCCTTGAATGTGTCTGACAGACTCTTTCATGAATCAAGAAATCTCAAAAAACCATCTTGCCCTTAGGCAAGTTCAGCAGTCATTTCTCTGTCGGTCCTGCATGTCCATTTTTTATAACATGCCATCAAGCAGTCCAGGCAAGAGCAGTTTACTTGCCCAAATGACTAACAAACTCCATAAGGAGCCTCTCGATACCATTATTCTCTTGAAGTAGTTATTGCTGCCAAGAGCAGATGTGTCTCATTGTCATGAAAAGTCCTAACTTCTTGAAATATTTCAAATACCATATTCTGTAGTATTTGAAAGGTTTGAAGAATCCCTATCCACCTGAAATACATATCTGTACATCTAGAAAATCTAACTAACATGACTACAAGCTTGACTGTTACAGATGATTATCTATTAGCCTATATTTCTTAATTATACATTACATTTTGAAATAAGCTGTACAAACAAAATACCTTAATCAAGAGCAGAAATATACACTCATACATACAGTATAACAAAATTGACTTTAAATTTGTATCAATAGAGCAAGATGCATACAATGCAAATCTCTATGGCATATTCCCCTTTAAATATAAACAGATATTTATAAACAATATTTGGGAATATAGGTATAATTTTCTAGACTACTTAATGCTGATCGGGGTACTGTTAATCAGGAGTTTCGTGGTGTATCCTATGTGCTATGTTCGTCTCAGTCAGCAGTTGGGTGAAGTAATTGTTTGGGGGTGTTCACAGTGACCTTTCAGGGGGTCTTGGTGCATCAAATCATATTAGTATGGAAGCAATCCACAGGTTCTCATCTTCTGTGGAAACAAAAGAAGAACCTCTTTTCCAAAGCAACATATCATTAGACCCATATTTTGAATTCAAGATACTATATATATATATATATATATATATATATATATATATATATATATGTAGGTTTAGCTTAGCAGCCCATGTGATGAAATGTTTCTCTGTACTTAGCTCCGTCACAGCCAAAAAAATTCAAAGAAACACAATAATATACATAATCCAGACTCTGTGACTTTTCCATCTTTACATGGCTTATTTTTCTTTACTCCTTTTAATACATGTCTGTCAGTACTCTGTCTCTTTAAAGACTTTGTTTTGTTTTTTTAAAAAAACATTTATTTCTTTTCATAACCTTCTATACTCTTTTTCTTCTCTCTCCCAAGCCTACATACATTTATCCAACACTGTGACTCATTTAGAGACCTTTCTTTTTGTCCGAATCTATTGTGTATCTGTAATTCTTTACTGTCTAGGAGTGCTTTTAAAAATGCTAAGCACTGCTCCATCTTGGGCTCTGTCATTCGGAGATTTGGCTTGGGTGAGCCTGCACGGGCACCTGGAGACCGAGGAAAGTCGCAAGATGCTCCGAGACCGGCCATGGGATTGGTATCATTTGAGGACGTAGCTGTGAACTTCACCAGGCAGGAGTGGCAGGAGCTGAACGCTGCCCAGAGAGCCCTGTACAGGGATATGATGCTGGAGACCTACAGCAGCCTGGTGTTCCTGAAGCTCTGCGTAGCCAAGCCTAAGTTGATCTTCAATTTGGAACGTGGATGTGGGCCGTGGGGCCGAGCAGAAGCTGCGTTGCGGAGCCACCCAGATGTTGATGAAGTAAGTGCCCTGATTGACACCAGCAAGGAAAATCCTGAGATACATTTGGGATAGCTTGAAATAACTGACCAAGACATGATTAAAGGAAAACTAAAGACTCAACCGGAAGTCTACATGGGCCAAAATCCCGTCATGGTAGAGCACCTGTCAAAACACTTCACGAAAAGTTAAAGAAAAGCAAGACCCCTACATCACACCGAGATGGGAAACTCTACGAATGTAAGGACTGTGGGAAAACTTTCTGTAATAACTCAACCCTTATTAAGCATCACAGAAGAACTCATAATGTAGAGAAGCGCTTTAATTGTACTATATGTGGTAAAACATACCACTGGAAGTCAGACCTCACTGCTCACGAGAAAACTCACAACAAACTGGAGAGGACATACGAATGTAAGGAGTGTGGGAAAGCTTTCCTCCGTAAGTCTCATCTCAATGTTCATGAAAGAACCCACACAGGCGAGAGGCCGCATAAATGTACGGAATGCACGAGAGCTTTCTATTACAAGTCAGACCTGACTCGGCATAAAAAAACGCACTTGGGTGAGAAGCCCTTTAAATGTAAAGAGTGCATGAAAGCTTTTTCTCGCAAGTCAAAGCTCGCTATACATCAGCAAACTCATACAGGTGAGAAGCCTTATGAATGTACAGATTGCAGGAAGACTTTCTCCCATAAGTCACAGCTCACGGCACATAGGATAGCTCACTCATCCGAGAATTTCTATGAATGTAAAGAATGCAATAAGTCTTTCCACTGGAAGTGCCAGCTCACGGCACATCAGAAGAGGCAAGCAGGAAGAGGCTTCCTGCAGGAAGAACAGAGAACACTGCACGGAGAAGAGCAGGACACTGTGTTCACAGACTCCTTGCGTGACTTATCTGTCCTCGGAGGCTCCACAGAGGTGGTGTCAGGGAGCTCGGGGGTTAAGAATCTTGCTGTAAGATGTGACTGCCTCGCCAAAAAAGGTGCCAAGCCACATGGCTAGGCTAACAAGACAAAATAATGTCTTGGGTTAATGTAAGATATAAGAAATAATAAAATAATAATGAATAAAGAATAATAATGGTTTAATGTAAGATGTAAGAATTAATTAATAAAAAGCCTAAGCTACTAGGCCAACCACTTTATGATTTATGTGGACCTCTATGTATTTATTTGGGACTAAACAACCATGGGATCTGATGGGACAGAAATCTCTGTCTACAGTTGTTTGTTTTATTAATGTTTTGTTGTTATTTATTACTATTATTGTTTGTATACTCTGGGCAGTAACTCTCTACCAGATATATTCCTGGTAATCATGGATGATTTCTACATGTGTATTTTCAGCATTATATAATATTAAAGAAATTGATTTGAAAAAAAAAAAAAATCTTGCTGTATTTTGAGACAGGGTTTTCCTGTGTAGCCTGGCTGTCTTGGGACTTGCTCTGTAAACCAGGCTGGCCTCTAACTCAGAGATCCTCCTGCCTCTGCCTCCCAGGCTCTTGCTTTATAATTGTGATGATTCTAGCACCTATTTGACAAGTCAGCAACCCTACAAACACCTGTCAGCCCAGCTCTGACAATGGCAGAGACGGGGATCACTTGAACTTGCTGATTTCTAGCCTCGCTGGGCCATGAGCCCCAAGTTCAGGAAGGGGCCCTTTAAGAGAGGAATAAGGAGGAGTGGTGGAAGTGGTCACTCACTGCACACTTCTGGTTTCTGTGTGTGAGTGTAGGTATATGTCTACATACACGTGTAAACAAAGGAGAATGGTGGAAGGGCTCATTGTGTAAAGGTGTTTGTCACCAAGTCCGACGACCTAAGTTTGATCCCTAGGCCCTGCCCTGTGGGACAAGCAGCTGGAAGTTGGCCCACAGCTTTTGCAGATGAGTTAAAAAAAAAAACAAGCTGCACAGGTGCCAAAACATAAAATACAGGTCGGGAAGTAGCTTGCTGTATTCCTTTGCACATTCATCAGAGGTTCATGCTAAAAAAAAAAACAAAAACAAAACTGTGAATCTTGTCACTGAGGATCACATCACCATTTCGAAGAGTGCACCTGGGAGTGGCTCCGTGGTGGTGTGCGTACCACGCACGTGTGTTCCCACCACGCGCGTGTGTTCCCTGTCCTTCTATATTAAAGTTTGTCCGGGTTGTCTGCCCTGTCAGTGTTTATGCTCTTGAATGTGTTGTTTGGAAAAACAACATTAGCCATGTGAAAAATTGCAATAAATTGATAATGCATTGTTGCACTCTTTCTGTAAAAAAAAAAAATGCTAAGCACTTCTTAAAATCCCAAGTTGCGGCATTACTAGGGCATATATGGTACTCCTTGATTGCACTGCCCAGACTAGCATGGTGGAGTCGCTCACACCTCTAGGAGCCATGCACACCACTCCACTTACAGGCACACAGCCAGTCCACATATCCATCAATCAAGCAGCAACATGCTGTCTACAAACCCCATCCAAATGGTTGGTCTCCCAAAAGAGCCAGAGGTTGCGCTGGCAGCACGGCCCAGAAAGCCTGCATTTCAAAATGGTGTGGGATTTTATTTTTAGCTTACACTCAATCAGGAAAACCTCTCTTAAAGGAGCTGTGTCACACTGCCAGCAAACAGCACGTAGCTGTGTTAAACTCTGTATTTTTGTGTCTAGAATTCCTTTTCAATCCCTCTCAGGTTTTAAGAGGATTTTAGTTGGCCACGTTGGGGTCAATTTGTTGTAAGGAGGAGGCCATTTGTTGGTTCCTGGCTTCTCAGCCCCAAAATAATCACACAGAAACTGCACTGATGGTGTGCTATAAAACTGAACATGCAGGACCCACAGAGAAATGACTGGTGAACTTGCCTAAAGGTAAAATGATCCTTTGAGATCAATTAACACAGATTAACAGAAATGGGTGAAATTAAGATGTAAGAGTTACCATATAAGAAGCTAGAGCTAATGGGCCAAGCAGTGATTTAAATAATATGGTTTCTGTGTGATTATTTTAGGGCTGAGCCATCGGGAAGCAAACAAGTGACCTCCTCCAACACATTTATACCTATATTCCAAATCAAAACTTTAAAAAATAAAAGAACACGTATTTGCTACCTTCCATATATGATTTAAATACAACTTGACATTTACAATATCATCTGCAATCATGGGGACTCTAAGTTACAATGCTATTAGAAGGTAGAAGTGTTTTTAGAGCAGTCCCAGGCCTCAGAGAATGGAATCTAGTGAGCGCGCCTGTAGGTGATCCACCCTCTCACATGCCCAGGCCATGAGTTATTCTTGCCAAAGTAGAACCTTGTCAGGACAAATAGACCTATACCAACAGTTATCTAAGACAGCAACGTATGTTGCTCACCACTCTCAGCTCTGTGCAACATGAGTCTGGACAGGTGTGGAACAGCATGTATCCAGCTTTACATACTGTCAGAAGAGTATTAGTGTCCTAAAACACCCCCAGGCTCTGGCTCTTCACAGATCCTCAAACCCTGATATTGTTACCACCTTTATAGTTTAACTTTCCCAGAAAGTATTGGAGTTAACTTCAAAATAAGCAGATTTCATCTTGCCTTTTGTCTTCTCTCCACTTTGCAATATGCATTTAATTTTCTTTCTTATTTTTTTCAAACCCTGAAAGTCCATTTCTTTTGAAAACTGAATACAATTTTGTTGTTTAAGTTAATTTGTTTTGTCTGTTCACTCACTGAAGGACTTCTTAGTTGCATCAATGTCTTAGCAAATCTTTAAACATCCATGTAGGCATAGGTTTCCAAATGTTTTGGGTGAGTAGGAGATCGATTCCTAGAATATAGGGTAAGAGTCTGTTTAGCTTTGTACAAAAGTTCTGAGGCTGGACAGGAAGTCCAGCAATAGAGAACTGGCTGTTCTTACAGAGCGCTTGTGTTCAGTTAGCAGCACTGACATGGAGTGTCTCTCAGTTCCCTGCAACTCCACATCTCCATATATTAGTCAGGGTTCTCTAAAGTCACAGAACACACACACACACACACACACACACACACACACACACTCACACATATATTCCATATATCCCAATAAATTCCATATAGATTGCTCTTATTTAACATGTAAATATGTAGCACGAATAATAATAAGAACAAACTCAGAGACAGACTGTGTTCAATCTAAAGATCAGAAAAGCAAAGTACCCAAGCAATTAGAGAGCTCTTAACCGCTACCAAGGTTCAGACAAGCAAAGGGACTGTCATAACCTCAGTGTGACTTCAGACTGCAATGTTCTCTACCAAATCTCAGACTGCAATGAGTTCTTGTCTCCTCCCACCTTACATAGCCCTCTGCCCAGTCATATCACTCCTGTCTCCACCTCCCTAGTGCTCAAATTAAAGACATGTGACTCCTGACTGCTTGGAGCACCTTTGTGTGAGTTCTTTTTAGACAGATCTAGTCTTGAGTAACTCAGGATGGCATCGAGTCCTTGGATTAAAGGTGTGTGTCACCACTCCTTGGCCTTTAGTGGCTTAGCTCTGCACTCCTATCTTCTGGACAGCTTTATTTATTAAAACATATAAAATATCACTATATAATTGGATCTAGTGTCTTTTTTCTTCTTTTCTCTCCTCCTCATTGTTATCATATTCTGTCCTGGAGTGGAATCTAAGGTTTCGAACAAGTATTTTACCAACTAAACCATACCCATGTCCCTTATTCTTAAACAATAAGCATTCTGTTGTCTTTCAGTCCCATTCTTGCTTCAAATTTTGATTTGGAAATAGAGATGATTACTTGAAGCAAGCTTGTTTCAAGGTGCATGGTATTAACTAACCTCTCTCTGTAGAGAAGACTGTAAGGACAATACAAGGATGAGTACCTCTTCTGGATCAGAGGCTATATAATTGGTGTTCTGTTCAGGCAAGTAACTAGAACAACAGAGTGAGTCTTTCTCACACTGTAGCCCCAGACTGTTCTGCTATTTTTTCCCCGAGGTTCCCAACACAAACACCACACATTTCACAGCTCCACCCAAGAGGTGTGTGTTCACTTTATTTCTCTGTTATTGAATGCAAGCATGTTTTCTGAGAATTAGAGTCTCACAGGTTTGCCTCCTGTTTGCTTAGCTGCTTTAGACCAGCTTAGGTTCTCATTGACACACAGAGACTTTTCTTCCATCTTGGAAAGCAGCATCATACCATCTCTGACAAAGTCTAACTCCTTCTAAAGTGGCACCTATGTGAGTTTGCCCTGCCATATACATTTCTATCAGCACTAACAGTAGCCTATAGAGACTTCATGATATCTTTATGTGTTTTTTGTTTTGAGACAGGGTCTTACAATGTAGGCCAGGTTCTCCAGGTACTCATTTTGTAGTTCAGGCTCTCCTCAAACTTATGACACTCCTGCATCATGTCTCTTAAGACATGAGTCATCGTATCTGTATAACTGGATTTCATAAAATCATTTTACTGCGGTTTGACAATTGATTATAATAAACATCATCTTAAGGTATAGTATATGGAATATAGGGTTTGTCAGCTGTTTGGATCTAGTTAGAAATAGTAAAAAACAAAATTTGGAGAATGATATGAAGGGTATCTAAGCACCTCGCTCTTTGGGAAAAAAGTTGGTTTGGATCTAAATTTCAAGTTCTCCTCAAATCAAGCCAGTGTTCTCTTTAAACCCTAATGGAGAGCAAATCTCTGAAAGGAGCCCACTCCTGACAGTTGGTAACACCTCTATTTATTGTGGCCAAAGCAATCATCACACTAATGATAATGAATTTGAACACATTAGAGGATTGATTTAATTTAATGAATCTATAGGTAATTGTGAATTTCTTTACTAACACTATCAGGGAAATGAGACCTGTTAACATTTAAAATAGTTTACAATGGACATGGGCATCCTTTTAAGAATGATCTCCTGTTCTCATCAACTCATGTCTATCCAAGCAGAATGTTGCAGTTTTTCCCTTCT